TTCTAGCCGCGGAGCCCTCTTGTCCCCACCCGGCCAACTCTGTCGATGGAGGGAGAAGGGTGGTGGCGGCGTACCTCTCAGCCATGGCCCAAGTTGGTTAGGGGTGAGCGCTGGGAAGGGAGAGGAGGGGAGGGGAGGGAGGGGGAGGGAGGGGAGGGGAGGGGGATGTGGGTGTGTGTGGTGGGGGGGGTGATGTGGTGAAGTAGAGGTGTGGGCGTGTGGGCGTGGTGTCTGGTGGTGTGGGTACAGAGAGGCGGGGGCGGAAGCCGGGGGTGGGAGGGGTTCCGCCTGATCGGGCGCGTTGCTGCGGCGGGTTCTCCGGTTTGACGCCCTTTTCCTGCCGTGGCCGGCTGCTGTGCTTGTGCGGTGACACAGAGTCGGGAAAGAAGGGGTTGACGGGCTGTAGGACACTACACCGCACTTCTCTCCCACCACGGGCATAGAATAGCGACGCTTACGCTGGCTGTGTTGTTGCCTCCTTTGTTGTGTAACTGAAGCCCCTGTAGCGGACCTGGCTACGCGACACCCGTCACCTGAGGTGGACAAGGCACTCTGCAGAAACGAAAACGATCGAGAAGATGATGGCAAAGATACTGGAGGTGCTCATTGCGACGGATGCTGAGCTTGCGATGTCGGCGTCAAAGTACATCGGGTGGTGTGTGAGCCTTTTGCTGGTGTTTCGGCTCTCGTACTGGGCATCGGACGTGTTTCCATGGGCGGGCCTCTCGCCGCGGTACGCCACGCTGTCAAAGTTGGACAAGATCGAGTGGCACTCGCGGGTGGTGTCGAACATCAACGCGGCGGTGTGTGTCATCGGCGCCGGCTACGGGCTGGCGTGGATGATGTGGGAGTCTGTGGCGGATGTGCCTGGCGGGTGGTATCGCATCTCGCCGCCGCTGCTGGTCATGACCTACGGCGGGCTCTGCGGGTACCTCATCCATGATCTGCATCTCATTCTCACGACGCCGTCGTTGTACTCGCTTGGCATGATGGCGCACCATGTGATCGGCATTTGTGGCTCGGCGTATGCCTGGTGGTCGGGACTGGCTGGCGGCGCGTGCGTCTTCTTCCTCCTCACCGAGGCCACCACGCCGCTCATCAACGCGCGCTGGTTCCTTACCAAGACTGGAGCGCGCAACTCGAGTCTCTACACGCTCAACGGCGTGGCCATTTTTGTGGCGTGGACCTTCCTCCGCGCCTCGATGGTCGTTATTGCACCGATTGTCTTCTACCGCGACTGGCATCACTTTGGCCACGACTACCCGACCAACATCATTATCATCGGCACAACTGTCGCCGTCGGCTCGCTCAATCTCTACTGGTACTACCTCATTGTCCGCGGCCTCCTCAAGCTTCTTGGTCTCCGTGGCTCGGCCTCGAGCACCGCGTCGGCCAAGCGGCGCGATTGAACAACTGCGTGCATGGCGATGGCAGCTGGGTCCGGGGAGCCAGTTCCTTGCCGATAGCGATAGCTGACATCACGACACGACGCAAAGAGTGTACGAGCGGCAAGCGCAGTAAATTGGAGAAATCGTCAATGTGCCGAGCTGCAGATACGGGGCGCGGGCTTGTTGGTTGTGCATGGCCGTCGCAACCTTGCAAAAGTGGCCGTCCGACTCGACAGCCACCCCCCCCGACCCCCGACCCCCCGACCCCCGTCACCCCACCCCACCAGGCACAAGCAGCACAGTTCACAGGACACTCGACGTGAGCAGGGGGAAACACGGCTGGCAATGACGCGTGCTACCCGAGGGCGTCGGTCTGGACGGGGGAGGTCGGAAGAAGCTGGGGGAGAGGGAGGCGGAGACGGAGGCAGAGCTGGCAGCAGCGGACAGAGTGTGGCTATGGAGGTGGAAAAGGGCGGACAAAGTGGCAGTGGCAGAGGTGGGGACACTCGTGGTGGCACTAGTGGTGCTGGCAATAGCCATGGATTCATCACAGCACCGATCACTCCGTATGCAGAAGTCAATGACGATCATCCCGGTCCGGGTGGTGCTGCGCTCATCCCGCACTCGACAGACATTTACGCCAAGGTGCAAGAGAAGCCGCCGTCGGAGAGTGATGCTGCTACAGGCACGACGAGGGAAGGCTTTGAGGGCTGGCCCATTGAGGACCTCTCCAATCTGATCACAAACTTGACGCTCATGGGCGACGTGGCGGCGGAGCGGAAAAAGTACGCAGAGCGTCAGATCGCTGCGCTTGAGGCTGTCGAGGCGGCTATGGCCGAGTCGAATGGAACCGGCGAAATGTATGTGGCGGCACATGCGGCGCGGGTTGCTAACGGGTATGGGGTCAAGTCTGCGGCGCAGCATCTGGAGAAGCTCAAGCTGCAAATCGACGGCGTAACCTCGTCGCGCAAGTCGGTCCGCACCAAGCGGGTTTCGCAGGCGGCACAGCTCGAGCCGATGAAGCGCTCGCTGTATGATGAAGACGACCCAGCGCTGGCTTATCTCCAGAACTCGCGGCCAGGAACCGGCGGCAAGGCGCCAGCAAACGCCGACGCGGCGGCGGCGTCGAGCGAGAATCGTCCAACAGCGCCAGTCGACAAGGGGCTCAAGATCAAGCTCCGGGTCCCGCGCGAGAGCGGCGGCAAGGGCGGCAAAGGCAGCAAGAGTGGCAAGGGCGGGAAGGGCGGGAAGGGCAAAGGCATCAAGAGCGGGCATGGGAGTGAGGCTGGCTCCAAGTCGCGATCCAAGTCGAGCAAGTCGCGGCGTTCGCAGTCGAAGCAGGCGCCTCTGTCGTGGCCCCGGCTGGACCGTCTAGTGGAGCGGTTCCAGAACGGGCAGTACCTGACGTCTGAAGAGCTGCTCGCGGCCGACTACACCGAGCGCGGCGAGTACGCGTTCTGGCACTCGGTCGAGCCGTACTTTCGTGACGTGACCGATGCGGACATCGAGCTTCTTGCAGAGCACGGCATCCACCCGAACGACTCGGCGTTTATTGTGCCGCGGCTCGGGCGGTTCTACCGCGACGTGTGGTACGAACAGGACATCGAAGAGCACGAGGGCGTGTCCAAGTCGAAGCGGTCGCGGACGTCGCGGTCGAACACCAACCGCGACTTGTCGTACATCAACACTGGCGAGCCGTCGCTTGCAACGCGGGTCCCGCCGCAGCCAATCTCGCAGCTCGCCGACGAGGCGCTCGAGTTTGGACTCGGGCTGGTGACGTCGCAGCTTGCCGGTGCCTTTGTCGAGGGCACCGAGGTTGAGGCGCTCCCGTGCCGTGGGGCGGCGGCCAAGGCGGCATTCCCCAAGGGCCCGGCGTTTGGCTCCGGCGCGGGCGTGGCGGCACCGACTGCCATTGCGGTCCACCCGCCTGGTGCCGGGGCGCGCGGGCGCGGAGCGAGCGGCCTACCGTCGCCGCGGGCGTCGCAGCTCGAGTCGATGGACATCGAGAGCGATACTGCAGCGTCGCGACCGGGCTATGTCCACTCGCGGTCCGAGGCCGAGGCGCTGGAGGATCGGATCACCATGGAGCTGCTCTCGGTGGGGATCATCGACCAGGAGCCGGAGGCCGACCTTCCCGAAGACGACGAGGTGTGTGTCGAGCTCCGAGCCATGCAGCACCAGCTCTCGATGTGTATCCAGGAGACGAACGCCAAGAAGCGGCACCTGTACAAGCGGATGCGGCTCCTCTCGCAGGAGCAGCGGCGAATCCGGATCCAGCGGCATGCGGCCAAGTTGGTCGAGGTGGCGTGCGAGCAGTTTTTGGCCATGCCGGCCGCCGACCGCCCGCGGGCGCACAACTACCTCCAGGTTGTACTCGACACTTGGCGCAAGGCACACTCTGCCGTGTCACAGCGCAACGCGCCGCCACCATCGCCGTTTGCACAGGCGTCGGGCACTAGCAGCGGGCGGGCATGGGGTACGGTCACGGCGCGCGAGCTCAATGCTCGCGCCATGCCGACGCAGGCCTCAGGCGGGCCGACTGGTATCCACGCGCCGCCGTCTCATCCGGCGGCGGCGGCAACCCCAACATCCGCAGCCGCGCACTCCAACTCGCAAGCCCGGTCCGATCGGCGCCACGCCGCGTATGCGGCGGCGGTGGCCGCTGCCGCCGCGCGGCGAGTCACGTAAATGCATGGAAAACCGAGCATTTTTCAATTACATCTGGTGGATCACCTCTTTGGCGCGCTCGATGGCGTGCAGGACGCCAGACGTCACAGTTGCATTGAGCGCCGTGAAGGCGGTGTCAAGCGACTCGTCGCATCCAAGCAAGCGGCGCTGGTCAGACCAAAGTGTGACGGCGATAGCGACAGCTAAGGCACATACAAACATGGCGACCTTGATGGGAAAGGCGAGAAGGTGGCGGGGAACGGGTGGCCAGGCGACAGCGTCGGCTTCAAAGCGAGTGACGAGCTCGGGGTGGTGGAACAGGAGCCGGGAGAAAAGAGATGTGTGATGGGCCTGATGAACAACAGCATGCACAGAGAGCATAGCCAGCATAGCTGCTGCGCGGCGATCGCGCGTGTGGAGCAATCACAAGCGCGCACAAGGAGCAAGGCCGGCATTGCAGGTGCGGGCTGCACGATAATCGCGGACATGGAACATAGACACCAGGCATTGAGGCGCTGATACGCACAGGCCAAGCACTGCAGCGAGCAGCAAGATGTCGGGCAGCGGAGTGCCGATGTGTGACGTCAGGCGCGTTGCCGAAGTCAGAGGTTGGTATGGGGAGGATGGAGACAGATAATCTTCGACAAACAGGGCCGATACGTGTCCATGGGCGCTGCGGCTCACATGTTGTTGAGATGGCTCTTGAGTGAGGCCTTTGCCGTGGCCTTTGCATGGCGATAGGCATGTGTGAGGGTGACGTTGAGGGCCGAGAGGGCTTGATCCAGGTCATGATCACAGCCGAGATGACGACGATGCTTGGGCTTGAGAGTGGTAGCGGCCAGAACAACAAGGATGACAAGGAAGAGCGCGAGTTTGAGCGGATACGCCACAAAGTGGTCGTAGATGGTGGAGAAGACGATCCAAACAGCGGCGGCGGCGGCGGCGAGGACGACCAGTCCGACGGCCGGATCCCACTCGGAGAGGTCCTGACCCCAGAGCAGATCGAATACAGGCTTGAGACTCCACCACATGGTATGTGGGAGAGTGATTGCCGTGTGGTGTGAGTTTGGTGTGCGTGGATATGCCCTCTCGCGAGTGGTGTGCGTCGCCGTGAGCAGAGTATCCGACGGCCGTTGGTCGGTGTTCCGTCGATTCGATTTCGGCGGCGAAGGGAGGCCGGAGTTCGGAGGCGGGGCGCTTTAGCGATGGGGAACTAGAAATCGTCGTCGTCGACGGCAAGGTCCTTGAGAAGCGATGAGAGTTGGTCGAGATCTATGTCGGTGGCACCGTAGTCGTCGCCGTCGTCAGTAAACGAGAGGTTGGTCAGCTCGCTGTCGTCAAAGCCGTCGGGGGAGTGGCCGATGGCAACGGCGGCGGCGGCGGAAGCGGCGAGCGAGTCGGCAGAAGCGGCGTCGTGGTCGACGAGATCATCCGGGTCGGTGGCCTCAAGAATGGCGTCGATGTTGATCGAGGAGACGACGCCCTCGATGGTGGTCTTGCGGCGCGAGGCGCGGAGCGGCTTGGACGCCACCGACGGCTTGGACGGCCGGCTGGCAAGCCGCGACTCCTTGCGCGGCGGCTTGGGCTTGGGTTTGGGGGGCGCCACAAACTTGGATGCGATAGCGGTGGCGGTAGCAGCGGCCTCGACGGTCGCAGCAACAGCCACCGGCTTGGCCCGCATGGCGATCGAGATCTTGCGGACGGCGGTCGGCTTGCGCTTGGGCGGCGGCGCCGGGGCCTGGCCACGGCTCTCCGAGACAGTGGACAAGCGCTCGCGCCTGGGCATCGGCTTGGGCTTGGGCTTGGGCTTGGGCTTGGGCTTGGGCTTGGGTGGCGCTGAAGGCGTCGGGTCGTCCGAGACGCCGGCGACGCCGGCGACGGCGGCGGTGAGGGCGTCGACGTCAATGTCCTCGAGGTCGACATCGTCCAAGCTGGCGGGATCGGCCACGGCGTCGGCGTCGTGTCCATCGACATCACCGTCACCGGGATCAACCATGCACGCATACGACGACACGATGCCGCGCTTGCCGGCCTCGTCTACAACCACAAGGAGGGACGGGAGGTAGACAGCAACAAGGCGAAGGACGTCGCCAAGCTCGGGATCTAGGACCGGAAGGCCCTGGCCGGCGAGGGCAGTGCCGAGGCGAGCGGCAACGTCGGCAGCGGGCACGGTGTCAACGACGGTGAGCCATGTGGCAACCGACCAGTCGTCGGCGTCGGCGTCGGTGTTGGTATCGGCGTCGTCGAGATCGAGGATGTCAATGTAAGCGGCCGGAACAAAGCCGCCACGCTTGTGCGGAGCAGAGGCGACCTGGATCCAGCCCGGGTTCTCGGCCTCGTCGCCGTCGACGATGACGACCAGCTGGCCGGCAACGAGGTCAAGCTCGGCCTCATCGAGAGCGACATAGTCGAATCGGGCAAGGCCGTACTCGATCCAGCTGGTGTGACCAGCGACGGGTGCGACGATGGTGAGAGGAATGAGCTCGCGGTCGAGGTCGACAACGGCGACTGTTGTCTCCTCGAGGCCATACATACGCTCGGCGGCATGTATGCTGTCGAGGAGGGCGGCGGCCTCGGGCACTAGCAGGTTGTGGTGCTCGAGCGCGGCCATGTGCGACGGAGAGCCAGCTTCGTAGGCCTCGGCGAGCCTGAGGATGTCGCTCATCTGACGGAGGAGCGATGCATGCTTCTCCTGTTGCATGGCGAGGATCTGAAGCTGGCCGGCCGAAGCTTCGACAGTGACAGACGAAGCCTCAATGCCGGACGACTCGCCCGGGAGCAATGCAGGAAAGCCAAGGCCGGTGGCGGTGAGCGAGGCAATGACTGGCACACCCATGCCTGCTAGTGCGGTGTTGAGGCGGGCAAGCTGGGTTCGGGCGGAGTCAGCAGCCGTGGCAATCTCGGCCGAGACGTCGGCGTAAGCGCGCGACGAGGTGTCGTATGTGCCGCGGAGGCCAACAAGTGCTTTGAGCTGGCCTGCAATGCGGCGAAGGTGGGCGCGGGCGTCTTCGGCAAGAGCCTCGGGTGGGACGTCGGCATCAGGATCGGGAGTGGGCTCGGCAGAAGCGGGCGCGGGAGGGGGGCGGCCGACTCGGCAGTAGAAGAAGTGGCAGCTTCTGTGGGAGCGGCTGGTTCGGCGTCGGCGTCGGCGTCGGCGTCGGCGCCGGCGTCGGCGTCGGTGCCGGCGTCGGTAGCGAGCGCGTAAGTGGTGTAGGACACTGGAAAGACGCCGACGTCGCCGTTGATCATGCCCTCGGCCCAGCCGTCATCAAATACCTCGATGAGCAGGATCTTGTCGCCGGCCTTGAAGTTGAGCTCGTCGACCTCGTCGGAGATGTGGGCGTAGAGCGCCTGGACAATGCGCTCAGACGGCGAGGATCCGGCGAGGCCAACGAGCGAGGCCGGTGAGTTGCGGAGCGAGCTGCTGCCAGGAGCGGCGGCGGAGACCATGACGAGATCCTTCTGTAGCTCCGGGTTGAGAGCAGAGCGGTCAACGTTGCCGCGAGCGGCGGCATCGCGGGCGCGAGCGTGGATGGCAAGATACATGCGGAGCGTGTCAGCAAAGTGAAGCGCGGCCGAGGTGACGGCGACGAGTGGCGACGAGCGCTTGATGGAGATGGCCAGCTTGCGGTCCTCGGCCGAGACCTCGCGGATCGAGTCGAGCGGAAACGAGGCTTCGACGAGCCTGTCCTTGGCGGAGAGGACAAACATGCCGCGAGCAGAGATGCCAAGCAGCCGCTTCTTGAACTTGGACTTGGCGGCAGGGAGCGGGGCGAGGTCGGCGGTGGCCGAGCCGGGAGGAAGCGAAGAGCGGATGGGGATGACTTCCATGCCAAACATCGGATGGTTGCGGAAGACGTTGATGAGCGAGAGGCGGACGGTGTCGTCGGACATGGCCACTAGCTGGCTTTGCATGTCTGCCACAGACGAGTGGAGGACCTTGTCCTTGCGGAAGCGGGCGCGCCACTTCTTGGGCACAAACGTGGAGGCTGCGATGAGCTCGAGGAGCTTTGCCCTTCCTGCCACGCGATCGGCAGCCTCTGCCATAGCAGGATGGCCCAGACGAATGGAGGCAGCAACAAAGCGAACGAGCTGAGTCTTTGTCAGCGGAATGCGTGCCGAGAGAATGCGATGTTGCAAGTCCTCGAATTCGATGAGGATGTGCAGAGGGCGAGAGGGAGCGAGATGATACCAGACGCGACGAGTGTAGTTAAGAAGCGGAGCAGAAGAAGGATCACGCATAACAGCGACATGATCGACGAGACCAGCGGCAGCCAGAGTCAGTTCCGGAGACAGCCAAGCCTTTCCATGCGAGATGCCATACTCACATCGCTCCTCATCAGCAATATCAAAGGCCTCTCCCAGCTCCTTGCCCACCACGCCCAGCTTGGCAAAGGGATCCACAAGCACAGTCCGGACGAGCGAGCCCACACACACCCGCACAGGCACCTTGACCGTAGCCATGGTCGGACGTCGGAGCTTCGGGTTGGGTGACGTGCTAGTGGAGGTGGTGGAGCACGAAGCGGGGGTTGGACGAGAGAGGGAGGGAGGGGATGGGGATGGGGATGGGGGGATGAGGGGATGAGGGGATGAGGGGATGGGGGGATGGGGGGATGGGGGGGTTAGGTGAGGTGATTGGATCGGGAGAAGTGTACACTGAACACAGTTCTGTTGATGTGGGTGGGTGGGTGGGTGGGTGGTGGTGGTGGAGGTGGTGGTGGTGGTGGCTGCGGGTGGAGGTGGTGGTGGCAGTGGCTGCGGGTGGTACGAGTTGGCGAGTTGGCGAGTTGGCGACTCGTCGGCTTGGGGGGG